AGTAGGAATAACAGGGTCATCCACAGGTATCAGTAATGCAAGTGCGAGTTGCAATATGGACAGTTGGACTGAACTAAGATCATTAACTCAATACATGCAGGCCACTGAACAGCCATGAAATGGTAATGATTTTGTCACTTTCACCTAAGGATGGATTTGAACTGGTGACTTAAAGATGAAAGGCTTTTTAGCTTATTTCTAAATCCATGAGCCATCCATTTCCTACAGGACTTGTGTATTTAATCTGCTGTGTGAGCATTATGAGCAATTTACCCCTTTATAACACTATACCTTTAAAAGCGTGGTGGATAGATTCTCTTTCATTTAAACAACACCAACTTTGGTCCATATGTTTTTCATCCATATATAGCAGGATGAATACTCTCTTCTTCCCATTTCTTTGCCATTGAACTTGGGGATTAATGAATATACATTATGACCATGGAGACTTTGCTCTCTTGTTGAGAAGGCCAGATTACACCCTCTGAGTATTTCCCATGCTTTGAAATCAATTCTTATTTAAGGATTACTGTATTTTGATATCTGGAGAGCCTGGTCCCTGATATTAAGGTGATACAGTAGCTGTATTGAAATTAGTTGATGCATTATTGTAGTTGCGGTAATAAAACACTTTATGTTGGTTGCATTTGCAAGAAATGAAACATTGATATCTGGAGGATTGTTTTAAAGAAGTGTCTACAGACATTTTCTCTCTGCCAAAAAGAAGTTTTCTAGAGACGGGTTTGTGCTGATAGGAGTTTTATGACTGTTTTAGAAAGAATTTAGAACACGAGGCTAAGCTGAACACTTTGTAATAAGCAAGCAAAAATTTAGGGCATATAATACCGAACATAATAGACAGTCTGCTGCACTGCTCAGCTATTCTTCAGTACTTGAATTGCTGATGTTTCATCATGAAGGGAAAAACATACTATATGGAAATGTTTCTGTTGCTGGTATGGCAACAACAGTGTGCCAGGTGCCTTTGCAGACTAGAAGAACAAATGGTCTTGCACTGAAGGATTTGCAATCTAGAAAGACGACTTACAGATGAAGGCTGGGTGATGGGCTGAGGTGCAATAAAAGTCTGGGGTCTAGGTTTTAAAAGTTGGGAGGGGTGGGTGGATGACCAGCTTTGTGCTCTCAAACACCTCAGGAAATCACGCAAAATATAAGAGTTGGGGAACTGATTCCAGGGGTGACTGCTAATGCCGAATCTGTACTGTTACAGGGGTCGTGGTGGGCTACCCAGGATCAATGTGAAGACACAAAGCTTCTTCCTGGAAGTCCTTGTGTCACTAGTAATCCATTCTCTTTGGGAGCTAGAGCCCCTGTTTATTTTGTTTGTGTTGACAACCCATTCACACCTACCTCAATGGAAGAATTTGGAGAAAACTCCCTCAGGTCCAAATGGGTTTTGCCACAGTGGAGGGCAGCTTGGCCCTGGGTAATTCAACTATAATGTTTAGAAAATGTCTTGTTAGTTGCACAATTTTTTGCATGGATTTTTTTAAACAAATATTTTTGTTCATGCATTGTGTTAAGAGTTCATAGAATCGTAGAATATCAGGGTTTGAAGGGATCTCAGGAAGTCATCTAGTCCAACCCCCTGCTCAAAGCAGGACCAATCCCCAACTAAATCATCCCAGCCAGGGATTTGTCAAGCCTGACCTTAAAAACCTCTAAGGAAGGAGATTCCATCACCTCCCTAGGTAACCCATTCCAATACTTCACCACCCTCCTAGTGAAAAAGTTTTTCCTAATATCCAACCTAAACCTCCCCCACTGCAACTTGAGACCATTACTCCTTGTTCTGTCATCTGGTACCACTGAGAACAGTCTAAATCTATCCTCTTTGGAACCCCCTTTCAGGTAGTTTAAAGCAGCTATCGATCCCCCCCCCCATTCTTCTCTTCTGCAGACTAAACAATCCCAGTTCCCTCAGCCTCTCCTCATAAATCATGTGCTCCAGCCCCTTAATCATTTTTGTTGCCCTCCATTGGACTCTTTCCAATTTTTCCACATCCTTCTTATAGTGTGGGGCCCAAAACTGGACACAGTACTCCAGATGAGGCCTCACCAATGTCGAGTAGAGGGGAATGATCACGTTCCTCCATCTGCTGGCAATGCCTCTACTTATACAGCCCAAAATGTCGTTAGCCTTCTTGGCAACAAGGGCACACTGTTGACTCATATCCAGCTTCTCGTCCACTGTGACCCCTAGGTCCTTTTCTGCTGAACTGCTGCCTGGCCATTCGGTCGCTAGTCTGTAGCAGTGCATGGGATTCTTGCACCCAAGTGCAGGACTCTGCACTTGTCCTTGTTGAACCTCATCAGATTTCTTTTGGCCAAAGCCTCTAATTTGTCTAGGTCCTTCTGTATCCTATCCCTACCCTCCAGCATATCTACCACTCCTCCCAGTTTAGTGTTGTGACGTTGTGCAGTCTATATGGTTTTATAAAAACTTGATAATAAGTCAATATAATGTAACTGAGATAGTTTTAGA